GGACTTCCAGGAATCTCTTCAATTAGTCTACTGCAATCTTTTCCAAGCAGTCCTAGGGCTCCAACTACAACAGGGATTGTTGATGTTCTCATATGCCACATTTTCGGGATTTCTATTTCAAGGTCCTTGTATTTTGACAGCTTTTTGAATATCTTCAAAGATACATTGCAGTCAGCAGGGACTGCCATATCAATAAGGAGGCACTTTTTTTGTTTGTGGTCTTTAATAACAATATCTGGGCAGTTGGCTTTGATTGTTCTGTCAGTGTGTATTGTGTAGTCCCATAGAATTGTAACAGGTCCTATCTCCGTAACCGGGTCTGGGTGGTGTTCATACGATTTTCTTTCAGTTTCCTTCCCGTAGAAGTTGCAGATTTTCCAGTGCAGATATTGGCCCACTCTGTCGTGCCGGGTTTTATATTCAGTGGGTGCCAATACCGTGCAACCTGATACAAGATGATCAATCGTTTCTGGATATTTATCACAGAATCTGCATTTTGGGCTGACTATATTTTAGTATATGGGCTTGATAATTCCTAGTTAGCAAGCATTGGTCCTGTGCATCAAGGATAAAACCTTCAGTTTCAGCTTTCAACCCTGCACTACGTAGCCACTGATGGGTACGGGTTTTGTCTACGTCAGCTTGTTTGGTACGGGCAGAGTATTGGCCATGGAGCGGTTTATCTTGCCATCGCTTCTGTATCTGGTCGGCTGCATTCGTCTTTGCTGTCTTTTTTTTAGGTATTTTGTAGTTTCAGCCGGTGTATTGTGCTGTAGTTGCATCTCTACGCCCATTTGAAACTCCATTTTGAATTTGTTGGCTTCTTTCATTACGGAGTAGAGACGCTTACTACTTTCATGTTCCTTGACGCATACCATCATCTAGTCTTCTGTAGTTTCCAAATATCTTTGGAGGCCAATTGTTGTAGTTTTGTAGGACAGTTCTAGTTGAACTAATTCCCTGCCTCCTTCGGATCTGGGCACATACAGACGATCAACATCAGCTTTGGGATGATGCATGCGGTAGCAAGTGAGAAACTTTCTCGTTTTGGCGTCCATCCGTTTAATTTCAGCTATGGTCCAGTTAAGGACATTAAAGCTGTATTGCACCACAGGGACAGCCAATGTGTTTATGGCTGATATTCTGTTTTTTGAGTTTAGCTCAGTATTTAGTACCAGATGTACACGCCTGTAGTACCATTTTCTTATTTTTTTCCTTCATTTGGAGGTGTTGTATACCATCTCCTTCGCTAATTCCCAGGTACTTATAAGCTTCATCATGCTCCAGTTCACTAATCTTTGTGACAAAATCTAAATCTATTAAGGGTGTTTCTGTAATTCTACCTTTCTTGAATGTTACTTTTGCACATTTATCTAATCCGAAGTCCATACCTATGTCGTCACTTAAGTATTTTACAATATTGAGGAGGCCTTTCAACTCATTGTCGTCTTTGGCAAAGAGTTTGAGATCATCCATGTAGAGTAGATGATTGAATATTTTCTTATTTATTTTGTAACCATAGCTGCTGTTGTTCAGTTCATGCGTAAAGGGGATTAAGGATAAACAAAACAGAAGGGGTGACAGAGAATCTCCTTGAAAGATTCCACGTCGGATATTCAGAGGGTTGGATATGGCAGTGCCCCCGGTGTGACTAAGGTATAGTTTGATGTTCCACATTCCCATGCTGTGCTTAAGGAAATTTAATACCACAGGGGAGACTTTGTACATTTCCAAAGTCTTAAGGATCCAAGAATGTGGAACACTATCAAAGGCTTTACGATAATCAATCCACGCTGCACTAAGATTTCTACGTCGTCTCCTGCAATTTTCCAGGATCATTTTATTTATCAGTAGTTGATCTTTGCAGCCATATGAACCTCTTCTGCGTCCCTTCTGTTCCAGCGGAAGAATGTTGTTTGTTTCGAAAAGGGAATAAGTACGGTTCGTCAGGACAGACGTGATCAACTTATACGTTGAGACATGTTATCGGTTTATAAATTTTCGCGTGGTCTGTTTCAGTTGTTTTTGGTATGAAGTATGTAATACCTTCAGTAATCCATTCCGGGACTTTATTGGGATTATTTACATCCGTTGATAATGTTTTTGCAAGAATTTCATGGATAGATGAGAGATGATAAAGCCAGAAATTGGGCAACTTGTCATTTCCTGGGGATTTCCATTTTTGTGATTTCGTTAGAGCTTGCCTAACATCATCTGTGGATATATTTTCCCATTCTTGCAGAGGTGTATCCAGCGTTCGTTCTTCTTCACGCCCATTCTGCATTTGGGTTATATTCCTTTGGGCTGTTCCAAATATTTTCCCAAAATGTCTGTACATTATCAATCGATGGTGGCCTTTCGACATGTATAGGTGTTTTTCCAATTTCCCTGTAAAATTTCTTAAGATTCGTTCGGAATATTTTATTTTGGCGATAGAACCTACAATATTTTTGTATCGTTTTATTCTCTGTGCCTTTAGCTAAAGTTTCTGCTTCAGCATTTCCTTGATTGATGGAATGTCAGTTAGGGATTTAATGTTATATTTCCGCTTGATTTTTTTGCACTTACGGGTGGAAATATTAGGGTTTCTGCTGGGCTCATCTAATATAGAAAGCTCACATCTGATTTGTTTTATTTCTCGTATCAGTTTTGTTTTCCAAGCTGGTTCTCTGTGTCTGTTAATTTTATTTATTGTCTTGACTTCAAGCTTCCGAGTCGCCGCTAAAGCTGTTGCGTATATGACGTTGTTAACTTCTGTGATGTTTCCCGGTGGTTTATCTGTTAACAGTGTTTCCAGAGCAGCGTTGTATATTTTCACGATGCGCTTGTTGGAATTCGTCATATGGATTTTGGGGAGCTGGTCTCTGTCTGACAATTGTATGAAAGTTACTCTGCTGAGTACTTGGATGACGTCATTTTTCGCTTCGGTGGTTTCAGCTTCGTGGTTTTCAAGGAATGCTAACTTATTGTCACTGACGATGACTCCAGGTACATTTTCTAGAGAACTGCAGGTTGTGTTTAAGGTAGAGTCTTGAATTTATTATTATTATTATTATTATTATTACTAGTACTATTATTATTATTATTATTATTATTACGGCGCATCGCTACCATAAACAAGTGGTTTTAATGAACATTCTGGTCAATTACGTCGACACGTCCTCTACCTTGTAAATATTACGTATCAAAAGATCACAGAGATTTGATTGGAAGTTCTACATATATTGTTTTTATCTCATCTTTTCGATGTCACTAATTTCGCTTCCTGCTGTAGTCCTTGTCCGACCAGCAGCTCCAACAATTTCCAGAGATCTAAAACTTCCTGGAGACTTCTTCCAGTCTAAAGTGAAATCGTTCTTACACTACGGCATAGTCTGACGAGCTGCATTCCTTGTTTTTAACCAGTTCAGAGCTTCACAACTAAGACCTGCCATGTCACGTGCCCTGGGACAAATCATCCGCATTCCCTTCGTATTTCATCAGTGAGAAGAAAGTTCCATTCAGACAGCTACTTCTTAAGAACAAACTCCCGAGAGGATGCTTCCCGATCACTATAATTTCAACCTCTTCAGGTTTAGGTTATATATCCTACATATCCTTACCTCCTCTTCTTAAACTCAGGAAAAAAATAATAATTAAGTGTTCATCTTGTATTGGGTGAAAAATTTGTAACAATTTAATGTTCAGTTGAAAATTGGTAAATGGTTGCAGAAACAAGGAAAGGTTCTGATAACTGAATAATGGTATATATATATATATATATATATATATATATATATATATATATATATATATATATATATATATATATATAGTTGTATATTTAGGAGAAATCCTTCCTTTATGCATGTTTCATTAAAACGACGACAGAATGGTACTACGGTTAAACTTTTTATTTAATTTTTGTGTTCGAACAAAGCTTTCTTTTCTGGACAAAATATAAAACTGTGGAAAGTTTTATATTTCCTTTGTATAAAAAAGAAAGCGCTTGTTCGAACACAAAAAAAAAATTAAACAAAAAAAGCTTAAATAAAGTAACCTTTTGTCTGTCGTTTTTTTTCCTCACCAGTAGCATTCCATTCACGCTAGCTGCGTTTCATTTCCTTTGAAGCGTTGGTTAATACTACAACCGTTTTTCTCAAGACATGAGACGTTTTCACAAAGACTTGTATATTTTTTATATATTTTATATTTTGATACAAGTTTTTAAACAATCAGCATTAAATGACCCATAAGGAGTTAATATGCCGTTAAACAAACAAATCAAATCATTAAATATAACTTGAAGAAGACAAACATACTATCGAAATATTGTTAAACATTGTTAAAGACTGTCTTTACTTTTACTTTTCTTAAATCAAGCTCTTCTCTAAGTGATGCACAATATTGGAAGAGTTACATCAATCATTTTGTTTGTTATTATTATTATTATTATTATAATAATAATAATAATAATAATAATAATAATATGACATTTCGAAAACTTGGGAAGGACTAGCAGAGAAAGTAATTACAATGCAAGTGGTCATTGGAATATTGGAGTAAAAATCCTAGCAGATATTGAATTATGATCTGGAAAGAGAGCCATTATAAAAACACGTTATGTCCGTTCGGAACAGCAAGTGTACTTCGAAAAGAATTGGATATAGCCTGTCGATGAAAAGAACAAATGACCGATTTATTTTTTTAAGTCACAAGAGGTGACCGGAAAAAGAGACTTTTTACCAGCAACCAATATTATATGCCGCGCGGAAGTGAAATAATAATAGGATGAATTGCGACAAACCAGAACACAGTCTGCAAGGATATTGGGAAAGGTGCTGAACATTTGAGGAGACTTGCTGTAAGTTAATCTCTAGCGATAACCACCAGACATCTGGTGTAAATTTGCAAATGAATTAAATAATAATAATAATAATAACAACAGCAACAACAACAACAACAACAACAACAACATTAGCCGCGAGAAATGCCAGCTATCTTTGTTTCCGCTATTACAG